GATTTGAGTGTGTCCTGCTGGGGGGTGGGGGGGTGGGGGAGTGTCAGTCCCGGGGGTCTGGGGCCCCTGCAGCAGAACTTAGGTTTGTTCTGAAACCAGCCCCGCTTCACCGTCATGCATCTTCCCGTGTTGTTTTGCTTCAGAAAATGCTTTGAAAAATACATGGAAAACAGTGGGGAACGAGCGGTGTTAGCTTTGAGCAGCCCTAACGGGTGATGTTGATTTCTGTACACCTGCAGGTGAAGGCTAGGTTTCTGGTGAAGTCTGTTTCCCCCATCGCAGCAATCCCAACTTTTTCCCTAGGGAAGGCTGGTGAGGAGATCCAGTGTGCAACCTGGTTGTCTCGGGGCTCAGATTCCTCTCTCTCTGTTGCATGCTATGTCTTCCATAAATCAGCACCTAGATTTTCACTTCTCTGTTGTATAGTGAATGTTAGAAGAGGCATCTTACGTTTCTTCATGCATTTATTGTTATATTTAACTTTCTTGTAATTGTGTCTGGACAGCTATAAGCATTAGCTTATCTCAGGGGTCTGAGGATATACTAATAACAATGCAGGAGAATCCTCCAGTGGCAAATTTGGAAATATATTGAATTTTCAATTCTCAAGTGGTTTTGAATTGTATTAATGAGTCATAGGAAAACAAACCAGAATATTTATCATAGGGTCAACTATATGGATGTGTGGGAATTTAAGAGATGTTTGTACAGCCTTTTTGGGAGACCTCTGGTGTTGGAGGCGGAGCGATCTCCCCACACAACTTATTTGTATGCTTATTAAGAAAAACTTTGCAACTCTAAGGATGGTAACGTACTCGAATCCTCTCTGCTATAATCTGAATCAGTTTCTAGTCACAACTATAAATGGATTGGGGAACAGCTTATTTCAGTTTTCCTTAAAGCTGGCTCTTAGGTTTTATTTTGGTGGGGTTTTTGTTCTTTTCCTATAAATGGATTGGGGAACAGCTTATTTCGGTTTTCCTTAAAGCTGGCTCTTATGTTAGGTTTTATTTTGGTGGGGTTTTTGTTCTTTTTAATCAGCTCTTCTCTATTTTAACTTAAACATTCCCAGTTACCTTAATCTTTTCCTGTATATTATGCATTTAAACTCTGATCATTCTTGATCCTCTTCTCTGGACTCATTCCAATTAGTTTGTATACTTGAATACTGCCCTTCAAATTGAGTCAAAACTGGATAGAGTACTGCAGCTGAATTTTAAACAGTAGTGAGTAATGTGGAAGATTTATGTGCTACCAAAACTCTACTTCTGTTTATGCATGCTGCTATGGATGGCATGCTGTTGGTATATTCAGCTTCTGTTCCAATTTAGACTTCAGGTCTCTTATGTACAACTATAACCTAACAAGTTGTTCCCCTTCCAGTTGATTATTGCTGCCTAAATAGAAAAGCTTGTATTTCTTCCTATTGAAGTTCCCTTCCTGTTTTGTTTTATGGTGTGTTTGTTTTTGTTTTTTTTTTTCCCAAAACCTTCTCTGGTCAGTAAAGACTGGATTAGAATTCAGAATTTTCTTCCATCATGTTTTCCTTGTGTTGAAGCTTGCTGCTGTCTGTAATATTAATAAACATAATATTTACTTAACCATTAAATAATACCTGACTGTGGACCTTTGATGGCCTACATTACTTCTTCACTCTTTTTCTGCATGACCTTGCAACCAGAATGAAAAGTAGTGTCAATTTAAGATTGAATTGGACCTATGTCACAAACTAAATCCTTATCACATCGAGAAGCACATCTTCTGACTCTAATTGGGACAAGCCGGTGTACTTCCAAGGCTGGCAGGAGACAGTATTCCAAGCTCGCCTTTTCCTCTTTGATCTTTAGCAGCAGCATGTTTATTCCTTAGAGGTGCAAGGCCTAGAGCACCCTGAAATAGATGTGGAGAAGTCTATCTTTACTAAATAGGATTTGAAAATATATTTGGGCCACACAGTAATGCCCATCTTAGCTCCTTTCTCCTTCCCCTGCATCCCCTGAGTTTACCTTATCTGAGCCTTTAGTCTTTCACAGGGCAAGAAGACCAAGGCAAGAAGCTCTACTCTGCTTTTGACACCTTATACTACAGAGCATTTCCCTATTTACCAGACAGAATCTTTTAAAAAAAAAAAAAAAGCTAAATACAAAATCCTGTGTGTAATATGCCACAGCTGTCTCTTACTTCGGACTCTTTTTCTTTGTGTGTCACTATACTGTTTGAGCACTTTCCTGATGTGTAAATTAGATCTGTATGACAGTATGTTAACTAAAATTCATCAGTTTTTACTGCTCTTTCTCAGGAGGTTTTCCTTCCCTGCTAACGGACACTGCCTTAAGCTGTACAGAAACCTCCAGCATAGCAGAGAAGCTTTTCGCCTTTCCTCAGCCTACCTGTCTCTAGCTTCATGCTAGCACAAACTAGAAAGCATTTGGTGTCACATACTTACTCTCTCTAAGCTCCCTGCCTTCACATGATGTAACGACAACTGGGAGGAAAAGGGGGTCTCCTAAGAGTGTTGCACTTTTTTGCATCTTCAGAAGACTGAAACTGAGTAGCTGTTAAAAATCTACTGGAAAGGAGAACAGGAAAGGAAAAGTTGACTTTCTAAACTGCTTCTCATAGCATTGCAAAGTCCTATCCTGAACGATTTCAGTGAGATTAAGTAACTCCTCAGTGTAGTGACAACTGCATCTAAGGCGTACATCCAAAAGTTACTTAATAAGGCCACAGTTACACAGGAACATATCTGTTAGAGGTGGAACAATCCTACCAGGTGACCAGATTTCTTTCCATTAAGTTTAAGAAAAAGTCTTGATTCACCAGATATTTTCAGAGTTCTGTGCCTGTCTTGAATCTCATTGTAACTTGCTGTAAACTACAGTAGACTTTTATTCTTTGCAATGACTTTGAATGGACTTTTCAGATATTTCTGAATTTTAAAAAGCTGGGGACATTAACTCTGTGAAGAGACAGGGCTTTTAGAGGCACTGAATAAATAATTTTTATTCTGCTGGTATGTAGAAAGAATATACAGCTTGTGAGTCGTAGTATCAAAATACCACAAATTATACTTAGTAGAAATGTATTGTATATCTCAAAGTTATTACAAGTTCTAACTATTATGCTGTTGCTTTCAATTTTGCTCCCTCCATCCTTTTTCATAAGGGGATATAGGTAATACCATAGAGGTAATTTAATCTTACTACGCTTGTGGACTAGAATACTTAATCTGTCTTAATGCTGTAATTTAGGAAGGATTTGACCAATTGAAATTAGTCCAGAGACGATTAAAAAGACCAGTTGTTCTTTTTGTCTTTTTTTTTTAAGTGGACCTAACAGCAATACTTAGAAAAAACAGAATCTTCCTAGATTTAAAAAAAAGAGAGAGAGAAAGGAGACTTTGAATACAAAGTTGTGATAGCGAACACTTTTTAGTTACTTTCCAGATTCACAGGGGGAAGGACAATGGAAAGAACTTCGTAGTAAGGAAAGGCTCAGCTGAGTGCAAGAAAAAGCTTTGTGCGAGGGTGAGGCATTGGAGTGGGAACCCTGCTGAGGTTAAGGAACCTCCTTCACCAGAAGTTAAGACTACTTTGGAGGCTGTCTAAACATGAGTTGGCTTCACAGTGGAAGGCTTGGACTAAATGGTTGCCTGCTGGTCCTTTCTAGCTGTTCCTATGAATATTTTAATAACTTTTCGTGCACTCAGGTACTTGCTAAGTTATTGTTTCTTGTTTGCACGTCATTATGCCTTAGCTTGTCCAAGTGTGTTTTGTCTGTTTAAAATTCAAGGAAAATTAAAACTGACTATTTCATTATTTTGGTTTAGACTAAAATATTCATTATGATGAATTATGATAATGACCTCTATATTTATGACTACTTTAGAGTATGCACGTGGTCAGGTATCACACCTCTGATAATCTAGCTCTGTGGTGAGCTTGTGAACACAGCCTGTGTTCATCCTTGTTTTGGGGATTATCCTTATTCTGGTTGTAGTTTATAGTTAGTGTGTTGCTCTTGCTTACTGGTTCTGGCATTTGCCATTTAATTTTTACTTCTCACTAACACTGCATTCATTTAATTTTTGTTTCTGAAGCCCAAGAATCCCTAGTTCTTATCTATGTCTCTCATCTTCATAAATATTATATCTGGGAGTTAGAATTACTGCTGCAGAGGAGAAATTTATTGCAGTAAGTTTGTGTGGATGGGTTTTTTGGTGCTGCTTTTTTTTTTTTTTTTTTTAAAAA